CCCCGTTTCCTTCCTTCCTTCCTTTTATTGCATCCTGAGTGTTGAATGAACATAAGGCCACGCACATTCTGTTGCTGGGCACCTGGGAGCTAGTTAGCCTCCCCAAGTTCAGTTTCCACATCTATAACATGGAGTGGGTAATGCCAACCCAAAGACTGGTATAGGAATTATGTGAGGTAATGTGGAAAAAGACCTGGCCTAGCCATAAAGGTTGGGTGAATCCGAATGTTGGCCTCAGCACTCCCCTGTTCCTATTCTCAGCAGTCCTCGTCATATCTGGGTCTGCCTTGCTGAGTCTTCCTCTGATTTCCCTTCCCTCCATCTTACCTGGTACCTGTCCAGCCCCATCATTGTCCCCTCAGGACTCTGACAACATATATCGTTCGTTGCTTCTCTAATCCCTTTCCTCTTTGCCTACTCTCTCCTGTAGACACTGAAAATGCCAATACTCTCTTTCCAGGCCTCCACTGCAGCTCCCTGCAAGGCCACCACTGCAAATTCTGGCTAGTGACATGCAAAGAGAGTCTCCTGGGGGACTTGTAGAAAAGTCCAGAAAGAGGCTCCTGAGGAGAGCCTCTTTCCCATTCAGCTTTTCCTCCCCTTGTCAGACACTGACATGTGAGGAAATCATGCTTAGTGTTGGTTCAGTCACCTTGTGGACGTAAGTAGGGACACTGCTGACATGCAGAGAGCAGCAAAACAGAGATGCAAGGGGCATGTGTCCTAGACAACATCCCTGAGTGGCCAAGTAAGCCAGCCCCAGAACTTCTGTCTTCAGAGATCATGTCCTTAAATCTTTGGTTGGAAGTGTGTTACTTGCCACCGAGGACATCATCATTAGGATAAGTCAGCTGTCTTATCCTACCTACCCTCTGAGCCCTCTATCCTGGCCTAAGAATTCCTTCCTATTAACTCTCACGTTGATCCACAGAACACCGAGTTAGTGATCAAACAGAGGGGACCCCGCCCCTGGGGTGGGGTTGCCATAACACACTATCCGATGAACTATTCTGGACCTTCTTGTCGCTGCCACCACCCTTGTATTGAGCAAGAAGAACATTTTCCTAATAAATAAGGAATGGCCTTGGAAGTCAATTCCATAAACTTACTGAGTACCTACTATGTATACTGATATTGGGTATAAGAAAGAATAAAATTCAATCATTGCCCTTGAAAAGTTAAATTTTTATCACATGGTTAATCACAACGCTGGACAAAATATGAACAGCACCAGAGAGAGAGACAAACCAAAATGTGGTCTGAAGCCGGTCTTTGAACTGCCGCCACTCACAATGACGTAAGGAGCTCATGCCCAAACATAAATCAATTCATCACTAAGTTTATTGTTTAGTTGAGCTGATATTTTTTGTAGCAAAGGTTTGTTGGTGGAGAAGGCAGTGGATTGATTTAACTTGGCACAAGTTCAGCCAAAGGCTGGCTATAGTTCAAGGAGTATTAAAGAGAAGAAAGGTCTTCATGGAAGAAAAAAGGACATGACAATGTACTTGGATGAGAAGGTAAGAGTTGAACAGAAAAGAATGGGCAGAGAGAAGAGAATCCGATGCATTGATAGAACAATAAGTCTGACTCTAGTTAGCCCTAGAGTGGATGTGAGGAGAAACTGGAGGTGAGCCCAGAGGATGAATTGGAGTCGGAAGTGAGAGGTGTGGCACCACAGACTGGGAAGTCTGAACCTCTTTTGGTCTAAAATGGGAAGCCATTAAAGTTCTTTGAACAAATCAGAATATGTTGTAGGACAATTGATCAGATGTCAGAAATGAAAGCTTGTCCATAAAGAGGGAAGAATGAGAGGTAATAGCAGACCTGAACCAGGGAAGGATGCTTAGAAGATGTTGGAGGTGGGGTAAAGTAAGAGGTACGGATCAAAAAGAACAGTGTCAAGTTTCAAGACCAGATCACAAGACAGTGTTTTTGCTTCTCATAGAAGTGGGAAGGTCTGGAGGAGTAGGTGCTTTTGTGGGGGCTTTCTACTGAGGCCTGGTGTGCAGGAATTAAGAATACACGTCTGGGCTGGGGTTGTGGCTCAGTGGGAGAGCACTTGCCTAGCACATGTGAGGCATGGGGTTTGATCCTCAGCACCACATAAAAATAAAATAAAGGTATGTGTCCATCTACAACTAAAAAAAAAAAAAAGAATACATGTCTGGCAGGAGTGGGGTGTGGCACTGTGGAGGTGAAAATAGAGATCTGGGACTCAAACTCACATAGCTTGAGACCTGATACCACAATATACCATCAAGAGATGACATCCCTCAGGTGAGAAGTAGAGAAACAGGAGAGCTCAGGACCTGGAGAACTGCCTGCCTTCCAATGGTAGGTAGAAGGAGGAGGATGGAGCCAGAGAAAGCAGAGACTGGGGATGTCTCTGAGGAAGAACCTGAAGAATATGGTACTGCAGACTCACGTGGAAGAGGACAATTCAAAGCAAATCTGGCTCATGGAGCTAAATGCTGCAAGGGGTCGGTGAAGATGAAGCTCTAGCAACTGGGAGCAGAGCTTCCCGAGGCTGGTTTCAGGAATGTGGGGGCACCAATCAGATTTCAGGATTAAGGAACAAGGGCTCAGTTTGGTGAAGGATGATGCAGCAGATCTGGGTGTCAGTCTCCTGAAATCCACTGGTAAAAGTAGGAAAAGGGAGGAGCCGGGCTGAGAGGAGGTTTTGTTAGAGTGGGAGCAGACCTAAGCAAAAGGGAAAGAGCTAGCAGAGCAGAAAGATCCAGAAGCAAGGTGAGTGCAGCTGGAGCTCAGCAAACAGGACCCCAAATATGTCTCTTAGACTTCTAACTGGGAGTACCTGGGAAGCTGCAAATGCAATAAGAGATTTCTCTGCAGTTGCCTATCTGCCTAAAGACCAGACCCACCAAAGAGGAACACAATTGCCTCCAATCTTCTTCTTGAAATTTTATTAGTCGTATATATCAGAGGGAGAGATGGATAATTCAAATATCCCACTTAGAACCCAGAAGAACTTCAACTCAGGCCGCTGTCTGTACTCTGGGCTTATTCTGTCCCCTAAGAATCCTTTATTCTTCTTCTAAAATTGCCCACAGCCCAATGACCCTGTCCCCTCTCCTGCACAAAGAGGGTATTTAAGTCTCAAGCATCTGTGCTTTCTTTGCATTTCGTATTTTGTGTGGCTCCCCCCCCCACATGCATGTTAATAAATTTGTATGCCTTTTCTCCTGGTTATCTGTCTATTGCCCATTTATTTGCATTAGACTGTTATTGAACATTCAGAGGGCAGGTCTGATCTTTCCTATAGTGCTGATCTCAAGGGCAGGGACACAGTGCCAGAAAGATTTGTGGTCTGGGAAATGGGAACAAAGGATGGCTGAAGGAAAGGAAAGATCATACAGTGCAGGCAAGGCCAGTGCAAAGAGCTCAGATATGCTCAGTGAAGTTATCTGTTATCAACCTGAGGGGAGTTAAGCTGGGGTTGAAGTCGTTTTCAAAATTGGTTCACTGACTCGTCCAAGATCAAACAAATGCAAAAATGTTAGCACTAAGATCAGAACCCAAGTCTTCCACCTGCCAAATTCAGTGATCATTCTGCCACATGGGAATTCTAAATTTTGTTATTCTAATAGGTACTGTTAAGTGTTTTCCTCAACTACCCTTGATTGAGCCATTCTATTTGGACAAGTAGCTAGAGTAGTCTACTTCAAAAAGTAGTCCAGTGGCAATTTGAGACCACTAGGGAAGGACTGGGTTGAGAGTTTAACTTTTCAAGTCTCTAAACTACTAAAAAGTCTCCAAAAATTAAGATTTTTTTAAAAAAATTGTGAAATGGGCTGGGGACGTGGCTCAAGCGGTAGTGTGCTCACCTGGCATGCATGGGGCGCTGGGTTCGATCCTCAGCACCATATAAATATAAAAATAAAGATGTTGTGTCCACCGAAAACTGAAAAATAAATATTAAAAAATTCTCTCTCTCTCTCTCTCTCTCTCTCTCTCTCTCTCTCTTAAAAAAAAAAAGTGACCCATGACAGCTTCTCTTTCCATTGTGAAAAGAGGCAAAGAACTCTGTAATGACCTGCTTCTTTCAACAAATCCTTTACTAAACTCTTCATGAAGTTTCCCACAATCAATTTGGGGCAAAATACAAAAGACAAGCTTCCTTCCCCCTTTGGACCTTCCCTTTTCCATAGTCCACTCTTTTCCTGAAGCTGTGTCCTCCTCCTGGTGACCTGGCAACCTCTTCTGGGAGAAGGTCAGTTAGCTCTTTTCCCAGAAGAACAGGCCTAAGAGTTCCTTAGGTTTCCAAGGCTTGGTGTCATGACCTGAGCTCACAGTAACCATTAGGTTACTTCTGTAACCTTAGTGGCTCAGACGAGTGCTGAAAATAGTGCACTAGAGCCCTGGGCAGGCTGGCTCCATTCCTTTTGAGTTAGCTTTAACAAATATTTGTGGGTAAATAGGAAGTTAGAGTCCATGCCAGGTTTGTTGACATGTTATGTGCTGCAGGATGCTTAGCAGTGTCGCTACCTTCTAGATGCCTGTACCACGACCCTTCCTTTCACAGGTGTGACTAACCACCAACAATGGCTTCAGACAGTACCAGATGGCTGGTGGTGGGACTGAGGGATGGGTTGCCCCCAATTGAAAAGCATGGCTGTGATCTAATGCAGTCAAGTACTAGACAACAACCCCCCCAAACAGGACAGTGTTCAGGTTGCCCTTGTAGAATTAAGACTTGTGCTCACAGGATAATGATATGTGCGAATCAAATGGGAAACATGTTTTGACTCTACTCTCTTCAATTCACCAATATGACAGTGGTAGGAACGCTGTACTGCCAGTTAGTGTTCACCATCCTAATTTTTAGAAAATCTAGAAGTGACCCAACCAAAGTATAACCGACAAAGATAATCCATAGACTTGGCAATTGTGACATAATATGGGAGACACTAAAATGTAAAGAGTTAGAGTGGATCACCTGAGTTCACAACAGGAAACTGGTGTGGATGGAGAGTACTCACCAATTTTTCTTAGTGACATCAGGAAAGTAGCTTGAAGTCTCTGAATAGTCATAGTCTCCTTCTGGGTGGCTTTTCAGATCAGGAGCCACCCTCAGACCTGAGAGAAAACAAATGAGTGCTTAGAGGTTTAAAGCTAAGTTCAGAAGCAGAGAGTTTATATTTTGTTGCCATCTGCACCTTAAAGCTCCTCTCTCCCTGCTCTCATGCCACTCCCTGACCATCTGGAACCTTTTTCTAGGATATGTCATTAAAATTGACCTGTGTTCAATCCCCAGGACTGCAAAAACAAAACAAACCAAAAAAAAAAAAAAAAAAAATCCTGACCTATGCTGGGACTTGCTCAATGCCAGGTCCCAGCTAGCATGTTGGATAAAATAACTCATGCGACTTCTCTCTGGTGATGGATATAAATAGTGGGCAGAGATTAGAGACCTCTAGGTGAGGCAGGCCCAGCAGAAGCAGCATGCAATAGTTGGAAGAGCACTGCTAGTCCTGTCTGGGCTGCCTACTGATGTGGGCAGGAGGTGGAGGAATGAATTCTCACAATGTGGTAGGATTAGCTGTAGTAGGGCATCATCATCTCAGAAGTAACCTATTTCTACATATTTTTTCTTTTTCCTATTGGGGATTGCACTCTGCTACATTTCTAGTCCTTTTTGAATTTTATTTTGTGACAGAGTCTTGCTAAGTTGCTGAAGCTAGTCTCCAACTTGCCTCAGCCTTCTGAGTAGCTGGGATTACAGGCATGTGCCACTGTATCTGGCTTCTAAATTGTTACTGAGGGCAATTTACTGATGAGGTTTTCCAAGAGTGAGGGCAAGAAATGCAATTGTTTCTTTGGGCGACTATGTCTGCCATGACTAATCGATCATGGCCCTCTTGTCCTCTGAATCTTAATTCAGCTTCAAGTTCCTCAACATAACACATCAATGGTTGTCAAAGCATGGACCCTCAGCTAGCAGCATCGGCATCACCAGGAAACTTGTTGGAAATGCAAATTTTTGAGACCTACACTGGACCTAGTGCATGAGAAGAAACCCTGGGGGTGAGCCTGGCTATCCCTGTTTTTTTTTTCTTCTTAATTTAATAAAGTAAAATGATGTATTTGTTTATTAATTTGTTCTGTCAGGCATGTTCATTTTTTTCTAGCACATTCGACCTACTAGTTTTTATTCTAATTTGTTATATATGACAGCAGAATGCATTACAATTCCTATTACACATATAGAGCCCAACTTTTCATACCTCTAGTTGGATCCCTGTTTTTAATAAGCTTTCCAGGTGACCCCAGGTTAAAGTGTAAGAGACAGTGTTCTCAGATCAATGATTCTTAATCCTGATATTTCATCAAAATCACCCAGGATGATTTTTAACATGCCTGAGCCCAACCACTAGAGATTCTTAAATTGACCTGGCTTTTGCTAATTGATATTAGTAAAAGCTCCCCAGATTATTATTATTATTATTATTATTATTATTATTATTTGGCAGTACTGGGGATTAAACCCAACGGTGCTCTTTTTAAGGCAAGATCTAATTTGCCCAGCCTGTCCTTGAACTTGCAATCTTCCTCTGCCTCCCAAGTCACTGAGATTAGAACCATAGTTCTAAAATAGTCACTACCAGTCAGTTGGGGTAGGAAAGAGAGTCCACACCTATTCACCATCCTAATTTTAGATAATCTAGAAGTGACTAAATCAAAGTATAAGCTACAAAGATAATCTATAGACTTGGCGACTGTGACATAATTTGTAATGTAAAAAGTTGAATATTATCATGATAGAACATATGAAAAGAAGTATAGTAGAAGAAAAAAATGTAGCAATCAATGGTTTGGGGTTGTCTGTTTTGGGAAACGTATACTCTGATTTTGAAGTGTTCTTTTGGTTCCTTAAACCTAAATATCTCTGTGTAGAAGAAATGTAATCCCTTGAGCTATTAGTGGTAGATCAAGCCATCTGTTGTTGTTATTATTGCTTTAGACACCAAAAGGATAAAGAAAAAATGTTAATGGAACATTCTTATGTTTTTATTATTATACCAAAAGCATTATAACCAGCAATGAAAACAAAATTGGAAAAAAAAAAAGAAAGAAAAGGCTAGAAAGGCAGCCTCAGCCTTTCAGAATATCATTAGCTGATTCCCTACTTCCCCCTCCTGCCGTCTAATGATTGATAAACTCCAGTTAAAGCACCAGGCCGGTCTTCTTTCTCCCTCTTGATTGTTCGGCCTCAGCTCACTTGTTGTGATAAGCAACATAAAAGCAAAAGCTGATAGAAGAGGAAAAGAAGAAGAGCCCACTTCAGGGACACAAATATTTTTGTTTCCTTATTAAGAAGGAAAATTGCCACAACTAATTTGTAACCTAGTTTTCTGGCCCAATTCAGCAGCACCAAGAGCTACCACTGATCAAAGCCCAAATGGTACTGCCCTTGTGGAAAGCTGAGACTGCAGGCTTTTGTCTGTACCTACTTCAAGACCCTTAGTTTAAAAAGAAAAGAAAAATAGTGTTCAATAGCAATCCAAACAGGTAAAAAGCACAAAGAAAGCCCTTTTTGGTATGGGACTCTCCGTAAGAGGGAGAGTTCAAGACCAGAAAAAGAGGAAGAAGCAACATCTTTACCTGGAGCTCAGAGAATACCCCCAGTTACTTGGTTTTCATTTCCAATAAAAACACATAGAATTTCTGTTCATGTAATTGAAGGGAAAACTTATTCCATGTTTCTTATTCATTTACACTTCAGTCATCAAAATATTGATTTTAAGAGTTATTTGAAGTACAAAAACCAAACAGAAAACTTACAGAATATTCTTCATAAAGCTTAGAGGAAGTCTGTGCCTCCATCCCCCAGCTTTGCCTGAAGAGCAGGGAGAGGGATTTAGGTCAGACTAAAAAAGATAAACTTAAGTAAATTGAGATTATCAATCCATTGAGTTCAAAGCAGGATCCAAAAATTGTCAAGTACTTGTAAGTGTGTCCTGGTGACAGTTGGAATCACCTCGTGTCTCTCTGGAAAATTAATCGCTGCACAAGGAGATTAGAGAAAGAGAGATATGGAGAATGAAACAAAAGAAACAAGGTTCACTTCTTTTAAGTGAATGGGTGGGGTTCAAGGACTTAGGCCAGCCACATGATTAAAAAATAAAACTCTAACCTTAAATGGCAGAAATGTCCATAAAATGCCAAACTTGGGGAATGTCCAGCAAGGGACATAGAGGCTTCTCCAGAGATGGGAAGGTTGATGGCTAAGATTTCTGGTTTCAAGAAGTAAAGCAAAATGGGGTGTAGAGTTCTCCAGAGGAGTTGAAGCCCTTCCGCTATCTGACTATAGAGATATATATTATATCTTAGAGCTTATAGAATAGAAGCTATTCATATTTTCCAGAAACAAAAAATGAGCTGAGTCTTCACTAGACTGATTTGAAATAAGATGGGCAAGTGTTTGTTTGGTGGTCAGGGGAAGAAAAGAAAACTCCCTTAGTTGCAAATTCAAATGCTTTGGGATCCACCCAGGAAACCAAGTGGAGGATGGGGAGTGGGGAGGCCTGCAGTGAATGAGAGAATGCCCTTCCCACTTAAAGATCCTCACAACACCTGCAGAGGACCTGGGCAGAACCTCAGGAAGGTAGAAGAGAGACACGGGACAGAAGGTCCCCAGAGCGTCCATTAAAACCAGCCTCATTGACACCTTGATTTTGGACTTCTGGTCTCCAGAACTGTGAGAGAATAACTTTCTGTTGTTTGAAGCTATAGAGTCTGTGATGATTTGCTATGGCTGCCCTAGGAAACTAGTGTGGGGACTGGGGTGGCATGACAGGTGTTAAGGACTAAAATTACTAGAAGAAAGAAACAGAAAAAAAAAAGATCAGGAATCTACATTCAACTTGATTTGGCTGCTGGGGAAGAAAAATTAGACATAGAGAAAGCTCCTTTTTTTTTTTAAACAAACATTAATGTATGGATGATTATATTCTGCGTGTTGCCTTAACCCTTACCAAAAGTTAACTCATTTAAGCCTCAAAGTAACCCTAAAAGGCACAGACCACTATTATTTGCATTTTGCAGCTGAGAAAATTGAGGCAAAGGCAGATTAAATGACTTGTCCAGTGCCACATAGCTGGAGAATGGCAGAATGAGGGTTCAAACTCACATACTTTTGCCCCAAAGTCTGAATCCCTAAATATTATATAGTGCAGCCCCACATTTAAAATTATAATCCCTACTTAATCCCTTCTCTCTCTCTCTCTCTCTCTCTCTCTCTCTCTCTCTCTCTCTCTCGTTCTCCCTCCTTCCCCTCTCCCACCCTCTCCTTCCCCTTTATATATGGAAGCAAAAATTCTGGCTTTCCCAAATTCTTTCATGTTCCTGGAGCTCTGAAGTTCCCACAGGTCAGCAGCTGCAGGCAGAACTTCTGGCCTGGCCTAGTGCTTGGTGACCACCCAGAGGATAAGACTCAAGCACTGTTTCAGCTGGGACAGAGTCTTGGTAGGGTTCCCGGTTGGTGATCTGGGCTGAGTAAACTTTCCTGCCCCCCTAATGGCCCTGGCAGAGAAAGTGCATAAAGATGAGGCTCCAAAGCCCAGCCTTCCCCTTCTCACCACCGCTGGCAGATTTCATAAGGAGCCAGGGTGGTTTCTGGCCGAAGTGACAGCTGGTCAGCAGCCATCCTATCAGAACATGAAGAGCCCACCTCGTGGGAGGTCTGACAAGCAAATGCCACCAAAAGCAACACCGAGAAAGACAAATTCTTTTCTTGAAGAACAGGGTCTCGTGAACAACTTTTTTTTCTTCCTACACCGTATTTAAAATTGGGAGTTCATAACCCATTTCAATCTAATGTATGAAATATGATATGTCAAGAGCTTTGTAATGTTGTGAACAACCAATAAAAAAAAAAAAAAATCCTGGCCTCTATCTCCAACACACAGGGCAAGTGCAATAATTTTCAGGCCGAGGAGAGCATTTTCCACTTTGATTCTCTAGTACTTAATTCCAGTTATTATCCCAGTTAAACTTTCACAGAGTTCAAAGAAAATCTTGCCTAATAATTGCTTTCCCCAACTTGGAAGTGAAGGAGGGAGGTTTCCCCTTATCCT